CTACGGTTTCGCGGGTCTTTTTTTTTTTCATTATTTCTTGAAATATCTTCACCATCCTTTTTCTCATCTCATTGTCACAGCATCACGAAAATTAGTTTCCCCTTATTTGCATTCTTGTTATCGCTTCTTTCAACCAGCAAGTTTCGGTCATCTGGAAAGCAAATTAATTCGTTGATTGTTCGAGAGAATGTATCTATTAGAAATTTGAAAAATTTGAATTTTAAATGTTTAATAAGATTTAAAAATTCGAATTCGAAAATTTAAAATTAAAAAAAAAAAAAATGTAAATATTCAAGTATTCAACAACAAATATAAGAAAATAGCGCAATTAATTAAATTCGAATTATCGATGAAGCAAAAAATAGAATATAAACAACAGAATATAAACGAAAAGTGAGATTTTCATATAAATGTTTAAACGATGGAAGGAAACGATTACGGTAAAGCGATATTTGTCTCATTATTTACTTTACAAACAAAACGCTTTAACTTGCAAATTAATTTATTATCGCGAAATGCGTAGATGTTTTAATATAATGTAAAATTTTTTACCAGGAGAAAAAAACAATCAAGAAAAGAATTTTAGTTTTCAATCTAATATCCCGATATATTCGAATTATGGCTATTCGACGACACTTGGACCGCTTAATCGGTGTCATTCTCAACGGAGGATTCACGGCTCGATACCATACACGCGGTGCAGTCAAACACAGGTATGCATATGTGCGTTTTATTTCTCAGTCGCTCGCTCTACCGTGCAAATCTTGAATGCATTCGCCGGCACGTTGAAGATCGTTCGCGATACAGGCTTCCGCAATGCTATATCGCTACCGCGCCGCCGATCTTCGTCGAAGCTGTGACGCAGAAAAGACAATTTTTTGCTCTTTAGTGAGAAAAATTCAAACAAGTTCATGGAAATAAACTCGAGTTATGTTTGTGAGAATTGAGGAATTTTTTGTTCTTCTTTTTTTCTTGAAATAAAAAAAAAACGACTAATCAAGCCAAAACTTTATCGTATATTTTAAATCATATTTGAAATCTTTGAATGCTATAATTGATTATATATATTAATATATATGTTAATAGATATATATATATATATATTAACGGTCAAAATCATTGTGTTCTCGAACTAACATCAGTTTAAAAATAAAAACAAATGTGAACGTAAATTGATTATTGAGAAAAGTCTTATTTACTTGACACGAAGTTCAAAAATCATTGTTAACTATTAAATTACTAGTAAATAAAAAATTTGAAAACGAATTTCATTTTAATTAGAAGCAATGGACGTTATTATCGATTGTAATTTTCTAATATTTGGTCGTAGGAAATTTGAAAAGAAAAGATGATATTAGAAGCATCGGAGAATATTTTGGCATGGAAGAATAGAACGAACAAAAGCGTTCGAACGACTATCATTTTTCCATGGTAGTCAGATACAACCTGTTGCTAAGAGGCCTGAGGAAATTCGCACGCGAAACGGTGCGAATCGGCAAGTAGTAGACTCGACTCAGACAAGCGCAAAGGACTGAGTAAGAAAAAACATTGGCCGTAAATGTGGAATCGAGAAGATTTTTCGATTTTGAATTGTAATATCTTAAGAAAAAGAAAAGAGAGGAAAGAGGAATCACAATACCGTTCGAGCCGAGAAAGATGACGATTGAAGAAAGAAATGAATAGCTGACTAGACAAGAATGCAAACGCGGCAACATTTGCCTCGACCTTGTCAGTCACGTTTACCGAGAATCAACAGAATTTTATTTATTTTATTCAAAACCAATGAATCCTAACAGTTAAGTCTTCATATTCGTAAGTAGAGAAATTGTTATCTTTACTTAAATAATCTTTCTTTTCTTTATTAATTTAATTTAATTTAATTTAATTTAATTTTTATTATAACTTATGATATATTAAACAGATCGCAAGATCGTATCGAATAATATTTGGATCAATGGCGCGAGAATGTGTTTTTTTAATGGAAAAGAGAGAAGAGCATACCTGTTGTTCGAGTTGAGGACACGGCCCGAACCAATACGTGAATTTTAAGTCCGCTACTGCTTGCTCCGTCTTACCAAGGGCACATAGACTCGTATCGAAAGAAGAGGAAAGAGAGGAGTCACACCTGGCGCGGTACAAGATGAGATCACTACCGCACTCACTGATCAACTGGCCCCGCGCCCCACGTCTGGGGCCGCACGCACCTTTCGCGTTACCCCTTCCCCCTCGAACTCCGGAACCTGGAGCTCCTTGGCCCCCTCGGGGCCCCTTCGGCCCTCTTCCACCCTCCAGTCCCCTCCATATCCTCTTTACCTCTTCAGCTTCGTTTCGAATGCCCATTGGTCCGTTCAAATCGACATCGTGACGTCACCGAACCGAACTGCCGACATATATACGAGAGGAACGAGTCTCTCTCTTTTCTTCTTTCCTCTCCTCTCCCCTCTCTTACTTTCTACACCGCTCCATTCCGTTCCTTGCCGTGCTGTTCCCCTTCGTGGATCCACTCTTTTCTCTTGTATCTTCTCTCCCCTATGCTCTTCACTTGGTCTTCTTTCCCCGACTACCTGTCCTCCTACCTATGTCCGTTTTCTATCGTTCTCTTCTTCTCTGTCCCTCCCTCTCTCTTCCCTTCTTTGGTCGGTCTTCTCGTTTGGCCGGCTCTCTTGGAGCATTACCGCGGCATCCCTGTCCTTCTACCTGGTTGATTCGTTCTTTATCGCGTTGCCTCGTCTACCTTTTCCTCACGCCGGCATCTCGTTCTCCTTGTTCTCGAACGCTCTTCTGGCTCTTGCTGCGAGTTCGCGATCTTTCCACACGACGTCTCGTATATTCCCCTTTTGTTTCTTCCGTTTTATAACCGTTGACCCGTAAACTTTTCTTTTTATATTCTCTCCTTAACGATCTTTGCAGATTTTTCAAAGATAAAGTTTTGTTCAGGATTACATCGCCCTCTTCTTCTCTTCTTCTTCTTCTTCTTCTTCTTTTTCTTCTTCTTTTTCTTCTTTCCTGTCAATAAGAAGCTCCAGTTTCTATTTTCACTTCTTCTTTTCTAATGTGAAAAGCTTTCTTTTCCCGTTAACAATGGCTGTCGGTTACCTATACGGTGCGTTGGTGACTTGCAATGTTCGTAGGCAGCTCAGATCCGTTAAGTCGAATCGTGGTTCCTTTCCTCTTGGTCGGTCGCGGCTGTACCGGTCGCCAGCCAACGAGATTGTCCGCAAGA